GTCTGTGTGTCTGTGTGTGTAGGTGTCTGTGTGTGTGTGTGTGTGTGTGTGTGTGGGTGGGAAGTGCGGTGAGTGTGGATCCATGGACAGACAGGTTCGGCCGGGGTAATTGAGAGCCTGATTGCCCATGCCAGGATATGTGCCCTCTTACCTGCTTCTCTTCCTCTCTTTTTTTTTTCTTTTCACTCTTTCTTTCATGCTACCTGATAAGTCTGTTACTGCTATGTCCTGTCACATCAATACAGCACGGAGTAGCTGTGTACTCTTACACAGGACCATCAAGTGTCTCTGCCTACGCCAAGACATTTGACCCACTCATTTGGCATGCACAACAACATGCTGCGTTTGTTTCCTATGCTCGGTTACCCACAATTGTAGACTAGGACAACGAGCTTCTAGCTATAGCTACACTGAGGGGTGTTAAGTTGATTTTCATCCGCTTTTTATATATCATTTTGTACAACTGATCATCTTTTGTACTGCCCGTTAAATTGATTTTAAAGTGTAGCTGCCAATGTTTTTAGTTTCCAAAATGTAATTTTGAAAACTTGTTGGCTTGTATTTGGTTTGTGGTATGTAAGTGTTAAGATAAGCCGACTTACCACTTGTCCTACAACAGTCTGTCAAGAACATAGCATGCGCCAAATGACTCAGAACTAAATTGTAATTATAGTCTTTGCAGGCATGAGCCCACAACAAAGCCTACTGACAGGTTTCTTTGTTTTCACGCTACAGCTGTTGTGATAGCACTGCCAGCCTGTGTAAAAATTATATCTCTACCAGGGAGGGGAAGGACTTTACCTGTTTTGCTGGGATATGGGGGGAAGACTCTATTAGGAATTTGGTTTAATTTAGTCTGGGTTTACTTAACCTCTGGCTGCAAGATTTCTTCCTGTTTGGAGATAATTTGCTCAGCTCCAAGGAATGCAGGGCATGCAATAGGAGCTCTCAGATCAAAGGTAGATGGACGGCCTGAGGATCGTTTGATATAAAAAGCAGGGGGTTTGGTGGGTGGGGGTTTATGGGAAGAGAAATTGGTCTCTCAGCAGTCCTTACTAAATGAGGTTAATTGAATATGGGTAATTGCTGACCTTCCTGTCTCTGTGAAATCACAGCCTTAACTGATCAATGCCTTTCATAAATTTATGCCTGAAGGTCATTCAGTTGATTATACCGCCCTCTCTTGCTGCCTGCGTCGCTTCGCTCAGTCAGCCCATTGTGTTTAAATTAAGCAGGGAAGTGTTTTTACGCTAAAAAAAGTGCAATTAAGCTCGTCTCAGATATTCTAAATTAATTAGCTTGCTGTGTTGTTAAGTAAAAGCGATGTGGACATGGGAAATTTGAAAAGGTTTTTTTTCCCTTGCTTCTTTGCTGTGACAGCAAATGCAATTTTGCCTCTCAGTAAATGTCTCACTTATTGCTAGCGAGGGTTTCTGCCTCTCTGCTCTCCCTCTGCGGCTCTGCTATTATCTGGAGATTTATGCAGCCAATAAGTCATTGGTGTTCAGGGAAGTTGGGAACTTTTTAAAACAAACAGCAGTGTAATTTGTAATTTGGCATTCCCTAAATCTGGGAATTATGGTTGTGCATGTGGCTCTTTAGGGAGTTAGCACTCTGATGGTGGGTTTACTGGCCCAGCTCCCTCCCTGGCCTCCTTCTTTTTCTTTCTCCCCCTCATTCCTTTTACGCCTGCCGAGGAAACGGAAGGATTTCACAGCTGCTGAGAGCTGGGCCCCGGCTGGGCCCTATGACCTCCCTCTTGCTTTTTTCCCCCTCCCTCAGTCTCACTCCCTTTTTTCTCCCTCTCTCCAGCAGTCTCTTTCCTCAGGGAGCTCTTGTGTGGCTCAGAGGAAGCTGAATCATAAAGCATGGCTAATGAATAGAATAGGGAAGGAAAGCTGAGGCCTGCTGACGGCCCTCCAGAGAGGAGGCCAGGCCCCTGAAGCCCCAGGCTCAGATAGCAGACGGCCCCCTCAAAGGTCAGGCTTCCTGCGGCCCGCTCCAAGGGCTTTTGGCTTCCAGGCAATGTGGCTTGAATTTCCACCATTTTTTTTTTTTAAATGGTTAAATTTCCCTGTTTCCTTTGGAAAACCTGGCCTTTGCTCCTCTTTTTTTCTTTGTCTGTCTCTCTCTCTATATATATTTTCCCTCTGTCTCGTCTTTCCCTGTCTGTTTTTAATGGCAGCCAGGGTTGCCTCAACAAAGAGAGTGTGAAGAATTTGTTATACATGACCTCTGCACACCACAACCGCAGGCAACTTAGACTGCCAGCAGCACAGCCCCGTGAAAAAATGTCAACTTGACCAGCAAAACCCAGAAAGTTCTACAAAAACAACAGCTAGCCAAATCAGAGCTCTGCTTTGACATGCCTTTTTAAGAAGTGCTTTTGTAAGCCGGCCTTGTAATTGTGGATTATACAACTGACTCATGCAGACTTGGCAGGTGCAAAACACAGCATTAAAACCTAAATATTGGTTGTTGATGTTACTTGGAATACGTTTGGAATATAAAACAGCTCACTGCACACTCAGAATGGCTAGAATACGAATAAGGAGAACTAGGTCGTCTTGGCACATGGTAAACACAGCATTTTCTGTTCTCTTTCTCAGGAACATTATGTCTGCCTTGCTCTCTGGATAACCACTCTGGTCATAAGAATTGTTTTAACTGTTATACTGAGTTATGGCATGACCTACCCTGTCTTTTTTGCTTTTGTGACCCCGTGCCACACTAAGCAAGTCCCTGAGCCAGCTCCCGTGTCCATTTGACAAGCTTCATTTCATTCTGAGCCCATATTTTTCTTCCAGGGCCTCCGGGGCCATGATTCAAGGCTGAGGTTGTGCTGCTGCAGTGCTGAGGCTTGGTACTGGAGCGTTTAATGTCGTCCAAAGCTAACAAAGAGCCTGTGTTGTAGCCTGGCGCCCCGGTTCTGGGAGACTGAAAGAGGGCAATGCACAACACTCTGTCTTTCCTCTGTAGTCTACTGTAAGAGGAAACAGAAAACATCTCCATTCAGCTGAGGGTTCGCCTTCCTTTAAATGTCCCGCTTATCCAGACAAATCTAAAGAGGTATTTTTGACCTCTTCTTACATTTACATCAGGTTATTGATCTAATCTAAACACAGTGGTTGACCAGTCTTTCTATAAATACTGTAGTTTATTAATCTCATAACTAACATGATCTCAACTACTCTAGCAGAAGCTAAAGATCATGAAATGACACTGTTAAAGAATCTACTGATATCAAATTTCAAATCATAAAGTCTGTTAATGCAGACAAATACATCATCAGAACCTTTAAGCAACTGACTTGTTAATGTGATGTATCACCATTATTGACTTTCCCTGCAGTGTAGTTGCTGTATAATTTGACTTGACTTGGACAATATCTCTCTATAATTGTCAACAGATAATTTTGACAGGGTTTCTTCTCTTCTTTTTAGTAGACACAATTGTTTACGTCTGCTTTGTTTTCTTTCGTTATGGTTTATACCTGCACTTTATATGGCTGCTGTGTGAATGAAGGAAATTGTTGAGAGAACCAGAGAATCAGTGCTTTCCCTCAGTGCTTTCCCTTGGCACTGTTGTGGTTAGCGCTGAGACGAGACATCAAGCACAGACAGGCAAACACTGTGAAGAACAGTAACACAGTGGCAGTGAAGGAGAAATTGGGAGGTCTTGGAAAGAAGAGGACGTCCTCAAAACACTTGTGAAGAACTAACACGGATGCCAAGGACAGCCATCTGTGTTTACAAAATCATTTGCTTTCTCTTTTTGTCTCCGTCTCTCTTGCACTCACTCTGATTCACTGTTCATTCTTTACATATGCTCCCTTTGTGCTGCATAAAATACAAGCATGGCAGTTAAGGACACTCAGGCCCTTTGGTAGGACCATATGTTCAGCTCTTGCAGCTTTTTACAAGTGTGCAGAACCCAGATGAGAGGATCTAAAGCAAAGGGAAACCATGGCTTTAAACAAAACCCCTATATGGGCTGATATTACAGGCTGAGGAGGATTTTCATTGTTAATACTATCATCCAAGCACTGCAGACGTTTTGCTACGGTATTTTGCACAATACCAGGTTTTGTGTGGATTTACTGCTTTCGGTCATAGTGTTTAAAAAGTTCCTGTCTGGCCAGTGAACATGTATTTTTGTAAAAATGTATGGTCTGTTTTGCTTTAGGTGGTGCTTGCCAGAATCTACATATCCATCTAAAGCAGAGGGGAAAATACCTTGCAGTGTTTAGTCTAGAAGTGCACTATCACTTCATAGTGAGATGCCTTTCGCCCTCAAGTGACTCAACCTCGGTTTGACTATAATCCGCCAGGTTTCCACAGCTCACTGTCAGTCACATCAGCCAAACCAGTAACAACTGTTTTTGACCCAATGAATACTCACGTTGTTGACAGATCATCTGTTTACTTCCAGTATAGGCTGATATTGTCTTTGATATTGAATTTGTGAAATAAGGATATTGCTTTTAGAGTGAAACCACATTCTATTCATGAGATATGTTATTCGATTGAAAATATTGCAGAACAAAATGTGATTTCTGAGCGGCAGCATGTATGCAGGAGCCTTTGTGTTCTAATGCTGCACAGCCACTTTACTGACTTACACCGTCTTTGACAGCATTTCTTTTGAGGGTTTTCAGGTGGCACAACAGTGCCACCTAATGTTACCTCAACAGGAAAAAGCCAGACAGGGACCATCAGGTACAGAGGGAGCTCTTCTTGTTGGCTGATTGGAGTCTTTTGATTGACTGTATGATGCTGTGTGTGGCAGCTAGACTTTTCTTCCATGCACTTGTGGCCATATTTGTGACTGAATAAGCCTCTTACTGGGCAGACAAAATGTGCACAAGTGCTTGCATTGCTTTTGATGAATAATCCTTAAAATTATATGAGTCATTTTTTTTAAATGTGATTGACCAAAGTTTGCCAATGATTCAGCTCATCAGACAAATCCACTAAAGGTCTGCCTTCTTGTTTTTCCAGGTGTCTGATGTAGGATCAGAGAAGCTCTTTTCCCCTACCACACCCAAAGGTAAGAGCCCGCTCTGTTTTCTTTCCACCTCTGCCTCATTCATACTCATAACAACAACAGGGTTTTGCGAATGAGTCCAAATCTCCTCGCTCTAATCCAGCAGCTTCCATTCAAATTTAAATGTCAGCAGACATTAACAAGGTCTGGTGACTACATATGCATACATTTTTGCCTGGGTGCGGAATAGCGTTTCTTGGACGACCCCGCCAAAGGCTTAGCCCTCCTACATATTGGTTCATTAGAGGGGATTTAGAGCCTCCCTGCCACATGCTCCCACAAATGGGAACTTCCCTCAGGCAATACAAGCTCTCTGACAGCAGGCCTGGACCATAATGGATGCCAAAGGAAAGACAGAGAAAGAGCTTTGTCAGCCCCCCAGATAACACAAACTGTGTGTGCGCATTCACATATGTACATATGTGGATTATAAGGCTTTTGATTTAGTATTTTCATGCATGATTTCACATGATTTTTTTGTTGTTTGTGTGTCTATGTGAGTCCAATCATATACATGTGTTGGTGTATGCCATGTGGGCATAGAATGTCAGCCTCACCTGTATATTCACTAAATGCAATGATGCTTGCCAGGTCAGAGCAGGAAGACGGGTGACAGGTTGTTGATGCAGGGAGGCGGGGAAGGGGAGGAGAGGCACGATCAGCCTACTAGTGACAGATAGCAGCATGCAGACCACGTCCCCCCAGGGCAGGAACCAGGAAGCAGGGCCATTAACACAAGCAGAGGGAAAGGAGGTGGAAGTGCAGAACAGTGTAAACTATGGCCATATGAGGAGGATTTGGGGTGGGAGGTGGGGTATGTCTGCAGGACAGACTGGACAAATAGATCAGCTTGCCTCAACTGGACTGTTAAAAATGTTATCATAATAGACACCATGGTAGTGTAAACTGGGATGTCACTTAGATATATACTTAGATATATTTTTACTCTGCTTACCTTTTTATTTGTCCAATATTTGTTGAGAATATGTTGAACATTTTCTGATGTACAGTTTTGTAGGATTAAGGGTCAAACTTAGTGTGACAGGGATGGAGCTTGTCCTGTGGTTGAGGTAAAAAAGACTTAACCAGTTGTGTTTTTTTTTTTTTTTCTTGTTTTAATTGGGACCAATTTCTTCTGAATTCAGCTTCTACCCACAAGGGAATGATGCAGATATTTGTAGCATCAGTGTAAATCTTCCTCATGCCTTTTGATGAATTGAAGGTTTTTATTCACCTCCACATCAGAACATCCACTGTAAATGCTAGATTCCCTCTTAACAACATATGAAGGTGTTGCTTGGTTTAGTGCAGTAGCTTTGACTGCTGAGTGGAAAAGCATGGCTGACAAGGGAGCAGAGAAACCAGGCCTGCCGGCTGTGTGATGTAGATGACCTGTGACCAGCGTCAGCCTCATGAAACCAGCGTTCACAATGACAATGACTTCCAGACTTGCATGGTTTAGAAAACAACTAGACCGCGTCCGACTCCATCTATTCTCCACTGGGCTGCTGGACTACTGCTGTTGTCAGCTGTCAGGGTGTTGACTTATTTTCCCTGCATGCCCGTACAGAACATGGCTTCATATAAACATACTCAGCCGTGGAGAACTGCTAGTACAGGCACAAGCACAGACATAGCCGTTGTCTTTTACACACATCCACACACTCAAACACCCGGTCTATGTCAGCTGGCAAACGAAGGCCTCTGTGGATCTTGCTAATGTTCACACAGGGCTGAGGATTAGGACCGTGGAATTACATCCAGATAATCCAATCAGCGTCTCTTCTGATTGTCACACAGATCAACCAGATCCTGTTTGGAAGAAACAGTAATGTGGGAGAAGGGCACCAGATTAGAATTAAGGGTTAGAAAGGGCAAAGCAGCAAAGAAATCAGCAGTTTGATGATTTGAGTGATTTGATGACGATGAGGAAGAACGCTATCACGCTACAATTGCAGAGCTGCCACCAGCCAACTCCCCTCTCCCATTCCAGTGTTGATGTTTTGTGCTGTAATGGATTCTAGGACAGTGTTTGTTTTTGGCCTAGACTGGTTTTTCGGTGTGTAATGTGTGTGTGTGTGTGTAATACAGAGCAGCCCACAGGCTGTTTTCCTCTGGTTTAGAATGCAGCGTATGTGTCCCATTACCGGTCTTGCTCATGGTCCTGTGGGACCAATGAAAAGCCCGCTTTCCTCTGATCACCAGGCCTGTCGCGTTGTTGGCTGGGAGACACTGCACACACACACACACACACACGTACATTATGGCACACATAAATATGTAATGCTGTGATGATGTTTGGCTTGCACATTTCTCTAGGTAATGAGTGTTGTTTCTTTTACCTTTTCTTTGCTTTTCAACATTGTGCTCCTTTCTGAACTTTATTTTGGTGAGCAGTTACGGGTACAAACAGTTGAGGTTAAGTCCAAATTGCACACAGGCCCACAGTCTGTCATGTTAATGAAACGGTTCAGGATTAATAGAGGAGAGGAAAGACCAACATTGTAATCAGCGAAGGCAGAGCGCTGTAATTATGCACACAGAACATGGTTTTGGGCAAAACCCAGACACCCTTGCCTTCTTTCTCTCATATTTACTTTTCGTCATCTCTACGTTGGTAGTCTGTTGACAGCCTATTATAGATGCAAGCTAACAGTACTGATAATAGCACAAACTAATAGTACCTGTAATAACACACACTGTGCAATTCTCTTCGGATGTTGTTACCAAGAGGCAGCACAAGTTCTGCTGAATGTCTGTCTGTGTTGGTTGTTATGAGGTAGGAAGGTAGGAAGGTACAGAGAAGGGCAAGCATTATCTAACAGTTATTGGTTTTTGTTTATTTCCTGTCTTAAACCTCCTGCAAATTATTGATTTCCTGGAGGATGGCATGTTTAAGTAAAAGCTCTATGAAGACTTGTCTTCCACTCAGGGCTACTCTTATTGAATTGCAGGTCAGAGTTTACTGTTGTCACTTGCCTGAAGGCGAATGAGAAGCTAAATGTAGCTGCTGAGCATGTACTGGGCACCTCCACAGAGCACAGATAAACACTGGTAGGCTCTTCTTATAACATTTCACAATGATGCGCCTATGGAAGTGGTGAGGAGTTATCACCTAGCTGTGACCGGCTAGAAATATCTGAGAAGAACACTTTGGAATCTGCTGTGACGATGTTGAATGTTGTATCTGTGGGTTTTAGAGCAATAGTTATAGTCTAGGCAAAGTCTTTCACTTCCACCTTGTCCTAGCTAGGCACTACCTGCCATGGTGTGAGGGTAAACCCGTGTGGCGTGCAGTCCACCAGACAAACCTGGGGCATCTTGGGATAGCAGGAGAAAGATTGGTAGAAAACCCATTTCTGAAGTGGATTTGTGCCCTTGTAATCCTGATTAATTTTGACCCGTTGTGCTCATTTTAAACAGAGCATTACAGTAAGCGTGAACACAGCAAGCTCCGGGGCGAAACCAGGAGCTTAGCGGCTTTGGGAGGCTTAGCTGCAGATGGCATTTTAAGCCGGACTTAATAAATTGTTTCCATTAAACTTACCGGCCCACACATACTGGATTAGACCAGTGGAACAAAGGAAGGAGAGAGCGTGCAGACGAAGAAGAGAAAAAAAGCACACACACAACTCCCATCATGCACATCTGACTCTGTTAATATCTCTCTGAGGCCACATGAAAGGTGAAGACGGGGTTACTGTGGTGTTCAGGGAGATAGAAGCTTTTGGACATGAATGCAAAATCCACTCACTTCAGTTCTTTTGCTCGTCAGGGATGTCGGACCAATTTGCTTAATTGACACAGAAGTAAACAAACAAAAAAGATGCATAAACCATTTAGCTTGGCAGTGGATTTAGGGCTTATCCTCTAACTGTTTATATATAAACACATTACCAATGCTGTAGCTTAAGGTTTTAGGATCTGCCCATACCCTTGCTTTTTTTCTACGCAGCCCTTTTACTCATATATCAATCTGCTATTGTGGGAAATCAATTCCTTATGGTAGAACCCCGCCTCTCCCCTCTTCTATTCTCAGCCCGCCTCCGCCATACCTCCTCCCCCCATCGGCTCATGGCTTGCTCCCTAAGCTCTCATTATGTGCTACACAGTCCAGGGTCCCCGTGTCGAATCGCTAATCAACCACCCTGTCTGCAGGCCTGCTCTCTCAATAGGTGCTGAGTGGCCTTTGTTCCGCCACTGCTGTTTGCTGCATGTCAATAAAAGAGCTATGGCCTCCTCCTCCTCCTCCACCTCCTCCTTTGCTTCCGTTACCTGGGCCAGCCATAGCTATAGGCCTGCTCCTGCAGTGCAAGCTACAGGAGAATGAAACACAGTCTCAGCTGCTGGATTCTGAATGCCAGAGAAGGGAGGAAGGATGGTGATTGGAAAGGGAGCGGCAAGGTCAGGGGCAGGGGGGATTGAGGGCAGCTCAGGCATAGTGAAGTAGATGAGAGAGCATGTTTGTATTCGGCCAGGCAGCTCTCCTCTGGCCGGGTCAGTGTAATGTATCACTAACCTCGGTGGCCGGCCTGACTGTTTGCAGCCTCTCACCCATTAAATAATGAATGGAGGTTGACCCTCTGACCAACAAATCAGCTTTTCGCCGTCGTTGAATCAGGATAGAGTGGAGGTAGACGGAGAGTGCAGCTGGCTTGTTTGCTGGCTAGCAGGAAGGCTAGATGACTGGAGGGCAGACATGTTGTTGGAAAAACACAAGGGCTGCAGAGGCTTCACACAGCCAGATTAGCAAACCCTGGCACTGAAAGCAGCCATCACCGCTGTGGAATCTAAGCCTGGTAAAGCTCACCTCTAGTACCTACTGTGATTTGTTTGACAAAGTCCAGACAACTTATGGGACATGCTTTCTTTATCAAGAAGACCAATGTTCCTGTATTGACATAGCACTTATGGTCAGGCTCTGGTGTTTTGGGGTTTAGGCACTCATATTTGAGAGTCACACTATGTGCAAAAGGGAGCTGGCGGTTGGTAGTTTTGGATGC